CATACGGTTTGTTTAAAACGAAAATGCATAGACACTCATACTTAAGCTCAAAATAATACATTCAAAGTTATGTTACAGTTAAATTGCTGTATTTACAACGTAATTTACACTAGTTTCGTAATATTATTTTTCCTGAATCCAAAGGCACGAATTTATTTCTTTTTCTTTGATTCTGACGACTCTGACATGAGTTGGTGATGTAGTATTTGACATGTGACTTTTCTTTTAGTCGAGTAGAAAAATCGATTTCAAAACCTTTTATAGTGGTCTGAAACGGCTTATCCTTTCGGCTTCTTACTATAAAATTTCGTAACTTGCTACATTAACACCACATAGTAGGAGTGGGTGATATAAATCGTATATAGATTCAATATCTATATATCGCAGCAATATCGTTGAATCCGATATCGCCCCGCACGAAATCTATATATCGATATCAGCCGATACACGATATTGCTCGATGTGATGCGCATCGCCATATCGTACCGATTCGTGAATCGAAATCTATATTTCGATATCAGCCGATACACGATATTGCTCGATGTGATGCGCATCGGCATATCGTACCGATTCGTTAATATCAGCAATATTCGTTTGGTTCGTATCGAATCGGCCAGAGTGAGTGAGCGCACGATAGGGATATCATGTGATGAATGAAACAGAAACAGGCATTATCCATACAATTGTAAACCTTATATTTAAGTCCATATGTCTGTAGATTATTCTTAGCGTATCAGCAGGATACAATTAAGGAAAGAAGTTTCAACTTTCGACCCTAACTTGAATGCAGTATAGCCTATTTGCATCGTTGAATTTAATTTCACGCGCTTTGACCTTGAACTAGAATTTTTGGACAAGTGTTTATAAATACTTAAAAGTTTTTTGTGTTTGATTTTTAAAGTACACATTTTTCTATTTTTAGTTGAATCCAAATAATTGAGTTTATTTCTTGTGTTTGTATTAAACTTTTGAAATCTACACTCTTTTGGTATATTTTGTAATTTTAAATTAAGACACAAAATACTAAAAACTGAAAATAATGTAGCCAGTCCTAAGCCTGGTAAAAGCATGAAGGAAAGTTTTTTTGATATTTTTATTTTCATGTTCTTTTTATTACTTTAAGATCATATTATAAATTGATATCAGAAAACCAACCGTATAACGTTGACTTAAATCTATATCTACTACGATATTATATCAGCGTATCGTTTCAAATCTCAAATATCATGAATCGAGAAAATCTACTAGCATCCATCAATATATAGATTCAGAAAATATATAGATTCAATATCCGATATTGATACTCGATATATAGATACGATTCGATACGCGGCAAAACCGATATTACCCACTCCTACCACACAGACTTGTGAAAACGTGTTTTTATTATGGAACAATATTTATATCTGAAAGATGGGTTAGAAGAGTCTTATTTAAAATCTAACTAACAGTAATTTAAATAATTCTTTCACAGACTACCCTTATAGTTGGAATTATGCAATTTTGTTAAGTTCAGGTTAGTTCTATAGTTTAGTGGATATAACTTGGTGGACCAAAACAAAAATACTGCTATGATAGAGTGGACTAGCGGCTATAGCAATTAATTAAAACGTAAATTAAATACTTGCAAACATTGTGTTGACTTGTATAAGAGAAAATATAATTCAGAATGACACCGCACATCAAAAGTAAAAGGAACATATTACAAATTCAAATATAGTGCATCATAGACAATTATACGTGGACAGCATCACGACCTTCCAACACCTTCTCCTGATGTTCACTCATGTTGCCGAGACACGTTTCTATACATGCATTAATCTTGCACAGTGTCTTTCAAATTTTACTTTTGACAATGGTTTTGTCATTACGTCAGCTAACTGAATTTCTGTGGGACAGTAGCTAATATTTATTAATCCATGCACGAAGTGTTCATGTATAAAATGGTACCGCACGTCTATGTGCTTAGACCTTTTGTTGAAGGATCCAGACTTCACAAGTTGAATCGAACTTTGGTTATCAACATGTAGATTTATTTTTATGTCCAAACCGGTTGTTTCCTGTAATAGAGATTTGAGATACAATGCCTCTTTGCAACAGTCTGCTGCGGCTATGTACTCGGCTTCAGTCGACGATAGCGCTACTATAGGCTGCCTCTTGGATGCCCATGATATTGGTCCATCGGCTATCATTAGCACGGAACCAGAAGTGCTTCTTCGCGTCAATGGGTCTCCAGCATAATCCGAGTCGCTGTAAGCATCGATGCTCTCTATCGGTTTGTTTCGTTTGAACAAAATGCCTTTATGTTTGGTTCCCACTAAATATTTGAATATTTTCTTCACTTTTGTAACGTCTTCTCTAGTGGGGTTTTCGACCTTCCTGCTAACTAGATTGACCGCTTGTGCGATATCTGGTCTGGTTCTGGTAGACAGGTACAGTAAACTTCCCACTGCTTCCCTATAGGGATATTCCTTCTCCTGGGCAGTTTCCTGTATCGACTTTGAATCGCTACTTGCGGGCGTGTCACAAGGTTTGGCATTTTTCATGTTGTATTTTTCCAGTACGTCATTTATGTAGGATCTCTGAGTAAGAATTATTCCTTCTTTTGAGTTTTTTATTTCCATACCCAGATAAGTACTTGGATTTTCATTCTTTTTCATTTGAAATTTGGTTTCAAGTTTCTTCAAAATAGCTTCGATCTTTTTCTTATCTTTTCCTATGACAAGTCCATCATCAACGAATAGTCCGATTATTATTGACTTATCTTCGTTTATGAAAACGCATCGATCTGTTTTGATTGTCTTGAATCCCAAATCAAACATCGCTTGGGTAAAAGTTTTGTTCCATGTAAATGGAGCTTGTTTTAATCCGTACAAAGATTTTTTTAATCGGCAAACTACTTCAGTAGTATTGCAGTTAGTCTCATAGCCAACAGGCAATTTCATATAAACTTCATCTGATAACTCTCCGTATAAGAAAGCTGTCTTGATGTCAAATGTCATGAAGTAGTAAGATTTAGATGCGGCAATTGCTAATAAAGTTTTTAATGCAGATTGACTTACTACTGGGCTATAAATGTCTTCGAAATCCAGGTTTCCTTTCTGCTCGCATCCACGTACGACTAATCTAGCCTTGTACGTACCGTCATCTTTAATCCGAAATACCCATTTGTTCGACAGTATTTTGTGTCCTTTGGCTTCTGACTTGTCTACTAATACCCAGGTGTTATTTTTCTGTAATGATTCCATTTCAGATTGTATCGCCTTCTCCCAATTTCGTCTGTCGGTGCCAGTCACAGCTTCTTTGTATGTTAGTAAAGAGCAGTCATAGTCGTCATTATTTTCTGACGTAAACATGGTCACGCAGCGACTTAACTCATAATCTTTGGTCCATGCTGGTGGTCTCACGTCCCTTTGTGGTCTTCCACTTGAGGGAGATGGTTCATCAACATGATCTTGACTAGAGCTGGAATAAAGGGGGTTAGGTTCCTGAAAAGGTAAGTTCTCATTAATGTTGTTTCTTTTTTCTGGAATTTCAATTTGTTCTGTTTCAGGTTCTGGAGTAAGACCTTCGCGTTTCTCAGCAGGAGTACCGCTATAATGCATCTTTTCGACTACTTTTACATCTCTGCTGATAACAACATCATTCCTTTCGGGTATATATATTCTAAAACCTTTTGTATATTCCGCATATCCCAAGAATACTCCTTCTGTCGCTTTGGCTGTGAATTTTCCTCTTCGGTTTTTGTTCATCACAAACGCTCTATTTCCGAATACGTGTAGGTGATTTCCTGATGGTGTTCGTTGTACCCATTTCTCATATGGGGAATTGCCTTTGAGAGCTCTTGCTGGGCTTCTATTTATTAAATAGTTTGCAGTGTTTACTGCTTCTGCCCAAAGTTTTGCAGGAATATTGGCATCTATCATCAGACATCTAGCTTTATCCATCAGCGACCGATTTTTTCTTTCACTCATGCCGTTTTGCTGGGGGGTATAAGGTGCAGATAGTCTTCGGCTTATACCGTTATCTTTGAGGAATTTATCAAACGCTTTAGACCTGTATTCGCCTCCATTATCAGTTTGTAGATTTTGAATTTTCTTCTTATGAAACAGTTCAACAAAGTTTTTATATGTTTCTGATACTCGAGCTCATTTTAATTTTTTTATTTTCTCATTTACTTACTATTTTAAATTTTAATATGCTTCTTCCATTTGCCACTAGATATTTATGTAACCACGCTCTGCTACCACTGATAGAGTGGACTAGCGGCTATAGCAATTAATTAAAACGTAAATTAAATACTTGCAAACATTGTGTTGACTTGTATAAGAGAAAATATAATTCAGAATGACACCGCACATCAAAAGTAAAAGGAACATAATACAAATTCAAATATAGTGCATCATAGACAATTATACGTGGACAGCATCACGACCTTCCAACATGCTACACTATTTCCCAAAACAAAAACGAAATAAAGCAAATAAATAGCTATATTTTATACGTGTTTCAGTGCTTTAAGCCAGAACTTTGATAAAATAATGTTAAAAATATAAAGGTGTTTTAGTTTTGGTAATTTAGAATTTCTTCGTGTTTAAAAGTGTAATAATTGTGAGTTTTTCACTTTTTGGCATTTTCAAATGTTCACAACTGTGGAAAAAGAAAACAAAATCGGTGTTATTTGTTTGTCGGACTCTTCCAAAAAATCCCGTTTGTGTTACTTATTTAGATTTTATCTCAACTAACACCTACAGTATTGCCTAATTTCACTTCATTTAATGTCATTCTTCTATTCATTATCTATACAGTAAATTTCAAAAATGTATTCAATTCAAATAGTCCAATCAAGTTTTAATTAATTTTACATTCACCAGATATCGTTTCGTCCTTTAGTAAAAACCAATGTATGGGTTATGTTTCCTTTGCCTGTCTAATAGACAGACGGAAAGAAATGTCATAAATGTCAAAAGAGTTTTTGAAGTTCAGCTGTTTATGTTTACCTCTCCAGTGGTTTACCTACTTACGTCCTAAAGTTGACCATTAACAAAATTAATGATTAAATAAAAGTGCAGTTTGTGTCTACATGTGTATTTTGAGATATTTGAATGGTTTCAACGATGGCGTCGTTCCTATGTTTCGTTTGCCATAGCACGATCAACTCTATAACAAACGAGGTGACGCGCGAGAAATATCGCGAAGTAATAGGAATGAATGTATGTTTTAAATAACTTTAAATTTCAATAACAATCCTACGTATTTAAATTAAACGAAGGAAATAGGCAACGAAATAATTGTATCTATCCATAACTTAAGATTGATCGACGGAAAATTTATCATTCATCTTGTGTCTTTGAGTCTCCAAAGAAACTATATTTTGATTAAATTTTGGAGCGCGAACCGTCGATAGATCGACTCTGTATTAAAGCGTATGAAGTGCAGTGCGTCGGAATACCGACTATTGCAAAGTTTGATAATAGGTATTAGGTATCGAATTATATGGACGTGTCTTAGCGCGGTCACTTATATAGTTTTTAATAAGTTCTTCCTTGCTTTGATAATCCACTTTTCTGAGAGTCGCCGCCTCCTTTGATATTTATCTCCTGGATTATTCTGCACCAACCTGGCCAATGCTATTAACACGTTAATAACATTTATAATTATGTTGCTATAAATTTATCTTAATTTTTTTTCAAAAATCCTTCCTGCAAAATATGTGAAAATAAGTTCTGCACTAAAAAGGTTAAAAGTGCTCACAATGTGTAATTTTTATAAGCCATCATCGAAATATAAAAATACCTATACAATATGTCCACATTATGCATAAATGTTTCTCACCATAACTGTTAACACATAGACATAAGGCACCTAATGTTATACATTTGGATTGGAATAAAATATAGCCTCTTTAGAACACCGTGCATTGTGGCTAACTAAGTCTGAATCATTTAAAAGAGAGATACAGGTTAATTAAGATGATTATTTTTGTTTCCAGTTATGTCAGGATTCGCATTTGTGCCATATATGCAGACACATACTCAACAAATTATGGTTATTCAGATCTAAATGTCTGAAGAGGAGTTCTGAGTATCCTAGTTTGTTCAGGTGAGACAAATTAACTAAATGATTATCTTTTATAGTTTAAACTTGCACTTTTTTGGTTCAGCTTTGCGTCAGGTGAGCATATTCTTGATGTCAGATATGCTCATTCCATAAGCCATAAAAATGTAGAGGAATTTATGCCCCAATCCAAAACAACAATAACATTATAATTCAAATTACTTTTACGGCTTAATCTTGCATTTAAAGAGAGAGCTTAAACTGTAAAAGTAAAGATTTAATTTTTTTTTTATATTGCTTAGATGGGTGGTCGAGCTCACAGCCCACCTGCTGTTAAGTGGTTACTGGAGCCCATAGACATCTACAACGTAAATACACCACCCACCTTGAGATATAAGTTCTAAGGTCTCAGTATAGTTACAATGGCTACCCCATCCTTCAAACCGAAAAACATTACTGCTTCGTGAAGCAGTAATGGTTTTCGGTGTGTTTGCCGTGGCAGATATAGGCGGAGTGGTGGTACCTACCCATGCGGACTCACAAGAGTTTCTACCACCAGTAATTATTTCTAGGACTCAGAAAAATGAATAAAATATTATATCAATGATATTGCCTTAATGCAGACAACACTAAATGACTGATCTAATCTACACAAATGTGTATTTGCAATGTTTGCTCACAAATTTCAACAATCAGACAATAGGGAAACCTTTAAAACACCCTAAAAGTTTGTTTAAGACCAGCGTGCTTAGTGTGAGTTTCTTAATGTTTTCGATAGCGTAAAAGTTAACTCAAATTTGTATGGAGTTTGCCGCTAGGGGCGGTTTTCCAACTGCATACAAATTTGAGTTAACATTAGGGTTGTCATATTTTTTTCAGCCTATAAGGGGCAAATGCTTAAATAGGCAAAAAAAAAAAACGGGAACTTAGTTTTTTTACCCAGGACAAATAAAAAACAAAATTATATCGTGACATTCTATATTTTTATTGATATTTCGTTAAATTATTCCACAAAAACGTATCTCACACAAAGTCATTAAAATATGAATACGTCATAATAATGTCCTTATTAATGACTTTACATTAAAACCTTTAGCTTATCATATTGGGACTTTTTTATTGCTTAGATCGGTGCACGAGTTCACGATCCACCTGGTGTTAAGTGGTTACCAGAGCCCATAGACATCTACAACGCCGCCATCTACCTTGAGTTTTTACAGTAGAACGGTTGCATCACCCTTCAAACCGTAACTCATTACTGCTTCAGTTCAGTAATAAGCAGAATGGTGGTACCTAACCGTGCGGACTGACAAGACGTCTTTTTTTTTGTTTGTTTATTATGATTATTAATTTACGACAAGACGTCCTAACATCAGTTCATAATTTATTCGGATAACAGGTGCTCACAATACAGTTTTTAATCAATGTATTTGCAGTGAAGATGTTCCTATACGTTTGCAAAGAACCGACACGGAATGCCACATACTGTGCCCGAAGTCTGACTCATGCCAAACCTTACAGACCGGGTATAGCTCCCAATACGTTTGTGATGAACGAAATTTGAACGAGAATCGTAAAGACGCAGATGATTATCACGTACACCAGCTGCAAGATGAAAGGAATTACATTGATTACTACGAAGATCTAGATGCGCTAAATGAATTTTACGGTAACGATAATCCGATTGTTGATAAAGAGAAAGGTGCTAACGCTTTAAACGGTTTAGACGATGATAATATTGATGGCGAAATCGAAGGTAGCGTGCCAGAACAAATAAAAATTCAAAATGAATTTATTGAAGATCACGTGCAGATGATAAATGATGATGGAAATGAGGGATCAGCTAAATTGGACGATACGAAAACGAGGAAGGTCAAAAACAAGAGGCAGAAAAAGATTTTAACTGATCTAGAAGAGCAGAAAGCGGTTTTGGATGCTATGAGGAAAGGGAAGAAGTATTTAGAGGCGGAATTCAAATGTTATAATTGCGCTGTTGGATTCCTATTTAAGGACACTTATCAGGCGCATATGATGAGACACGAAGAGGTAATGCTATCTGTGTGCATTTTAATATCTTAGTGGTAAAGACTCGTTAGAATATGAAGGGTTTTCGGACTGAGGAATTAGGTCTATCTAACTGGCCACTCAGGAATATCAAAACTACAACCCCACCGAGCCACTGCTATCACCCTCGCAATCTGAATTTACGATCTCTCACCCTTCCCTAAGATGGACATCTTAAAACCTCGTGATTGCGCATGGTGGGCCTGCATAATTCGCTTTCACAACCTCACTTACTGCTCTTGCGCTGCTTTCTACGCTATCTATTCGCATTAGCTACTTAATTATAGAAATAAAACAATCGGTTATATTTAATCAAGTATTTCCACGAGATATGTCTTTGATCTTCGATCAATTAGACTCTGATATCTTTATTAAAAATATTTAGTATTCTGGATCGAAATATACTTGTTATTCTATATTATTATATGTCTCTTATGTTTGTATAACACAGGGGGAAAGTGGTTTTTAAAATTTATCAGTGATTACTGAAGTTGTATGAATAACATCGTATATAGATGATACTACAGAACTGAACTCCTTGTACTTCTAATAGAAACTTTACCGTTGTTATAATCGTACTATTGGCTTAAGTATCTACAAAATATGAACATTCATTTTAATTTTAATATAATACGTAGATTTGTATACATAAATTTCTCCGGTTAACAGTCAAATGGTGAATATCGTTGCGAGGTGTGCACCCTACGTTTTGCGTGTGCGTCCGTTTTGCGCGCGCACAGCAAGACTCATAGCCTAGAACGTTCTAGACGACGGGTTAAAGTCGACGCGAACGGTACGCAAGTCCCTTGTCACTTGTGCGGAAGGATTTTCATGTGAGTTTTACACTGAACCCTCATTTTGCATGTTGACTATTTCGCGGAATAAGCTCGACTCGGTGTATGAGTAATGACAGTTCTTGGGAAAGAGTAAAAAATGAAACGTGTGTGTAGGTAATGAATTTAATCGGTCAATATATATTTGAGGTGTGGGCACTTATAGTTTTTCGTGGGAACAGACTTGTCTTTGTCCCAAAAATAGAGTTTTGATACAAGAATGTAATGGTATACATTGACGACATTGATCAGCAGCTGTTTTGTCTTTACTAACTACTATTATTTGCTCAGTTCTTAATAGACTTTTTTATGGACTAGTGAGACACGTGTATTTAAACCGGTATCCGCGTTTGCCCGTGTACACCCCAGGGTATGTAAGCCACAATAAGTGTAGTAACAAACAAAGTAAGTAGTAACAAAGTAAGACCCTACTAATGGTTTATTGTTCGCAAGAATTGCAATAGATGTGGTTACTGGTGGTAGAACCTCTTGAGACTCCGCGAGGTACCACCACCCTGCCTATTTCTGCCGTGAAGGAGTGATGCGTTTCGGTTTGAAGGATGCCGCAGCCGTTGTAACTATACTTGAGACCTTAGAACTCATGTCTCAAGGTGGGTGGCGCATTTACGTTGTAGATGTCTATGGGCTACAGTAACCACTTAACACCAGGTGGGCTGTGAGCTCGTCCACCCATCCAAGCAATAAAAAAAAAGTGGTACTAGTAGTAATGAAACTACAGTTGTGCCTATAATTTCGGTAGAAACTGTATAAAGTTTCACCGCCACCAGACGAATGGTCCAGGAAGATGCACAGGACAAACGAACAAGGACATTCATTTTTATTAAGATGGAGGTACAGCATTTGTCTCTATAACTTATAGGGATACGACAAATTTGAAACAGCACCTAAAGAGATTCCACAATCAGAAGAACAATAACCGCACGTATTCGTGCAGCGTCTGCGGGAAGAGCTACAGCAACCAGGGAGCGGTCCGGACACATATGATGTGAGTATTGGGTTTAGTTGGTGGTAGTATGATTGGAAATGTACAAATCTTCAAGGTATAAAATAATGACCATTTGTTCACTAAATCCTCAAAATGAGATGGTTCATAGGCTCCCTGCGTCAATTGTTTGAGTTACATTGCGTGTACTGTCAAAAGATTGTTAAACTATAATTTTTGCTGCTATTATTTCTATAGACGACCAACGAGCCCGATTTAGGTACACCTGGTAATAAATGGCTACCAGGTGACCAGTGGTTCATAGATATGAATTTCCCTACACATTCTGTTATCTGTGTGACATTGTCATATTTTTCAATTTTTTTTTATTGCTTGGATGGCTGGATGAGCTCACAGCCGACCTGGTGTTGGCTTGGCTGGTTACTAAAGCCCATAGACATCTACAACATATATGGCGCCACCCACCTTGAGATATGAGATCTAAGGTTTCAGTATAGTTACAACGGCTGCCCCATCCTTCAAACCGAAACGCATTACTGCTTCACGGCAGAAATAGGCAGGGTAGTGGTACCTACCCGTCCGGACTCACAAGAGGTCCTACCACCAGTAAATTACTACCAGAATTATTTATTCACGTCGGATATAACGTTCTGGTATCAACCAGTGAATGGGAATTTCAAAACATCACCGCCCATTCATCGCGCGTGGCCCCGGACTTAGATCGTCACATGTCACGCTTCGATTACAGTAAACACATCAACAGAAAGTTCAACTGCGACAAATGCCCATCGACATTCAGCAGTCCGTACACCCTGAACCAGCACAAGAAGAAGCATGATGACGTCACAGCGCTGCATCATTGTGAGACGTGTGACGTCACGTACAACAGCCGGAAGAGTCTCATGGCCCACAAGAGGAATACCTTTGCGCATCAGCAGACTGTGTACGTACATCCTATCATCTGATCCTATATATAGGATGCAATGCGACCTCAATGATTTTCTTTTAAGCAGGAAATTAATTTTTAATCGCAACTCGAAATTTGTCATGGGCACACGAAAAACATAGCAAATTTAGAGCAAGGCAATTTAGTGATGGAGTTAACACAAATTTTTTTTTATTGAATTATAATTTTTTTGTATACCCATTTAACTTTGCCCGTAATGTAACGAAAATTAAGAATGAATTGAAGCGGGTCAACGACCCCGAGTGAGGCGTCTGACGGTACCCTCCCGAAAAAGTGATTACTTGTTAAAACGATAAATATCTGTGCTTGGTTCGGGCAAACGTAAACTGACTCGGTGATGCAGTAGTTCGCGCCTCTGACTGTTGCGCCGAGGTTCATGGATTCAATTCCCACATTCCCAGATGGTGTGCTGTGGGCTTGCACTCTGATTTCAAGGGTAGAAAATCCATTCGCAAATCTCTCTTCAACTCTATTCCTTACATCTCCTCGCTTAAGAGGTGTCACTTGTGAATTCACTAATGGTAGGACGCATTGTGAGCCCGCACGAATCAGTATTACGATCCTGCCTATTTCAGCCGCAAAGCAGTCACGGGTTCCGATTTGAGCTGTTCTGAGACTTGGATTCCGTGCTTCAAGTTAGCGGCTGCTTTCACGTAGTAATATCTACAACTTAACACCGAATGGGCCGTCAGGTAGTCCATTCGTCTAAGCAATACCGATTTCGAACCAATGTTCTAAGGATTTCAATTTTATTCTCTTAAGATTCACTACAAAAGATACGAACTTATGATTCCCACTGACCAGACGAGCGTTTAGCCACATTAGAATAAAAGGGTGTTCCCCGATTTTAGTTTCGCCTGTCGGGCGTGCAACAGGCTGTGTCCTACGAAACGCTCCCTGGAATCGCACATGGCCGCCGTCCACTCGGCGACGAAGGACTTCTGTTGCGAAGTCTGCGACGCTAGGTACACGAATCGAAAGTCTTGGGTGCGACACGTGGCGACCCACGACCCGAGCAGAGCCAAAGAGGTCTTCATATGCTACCGGTGCCCGAAGACTTTTAAGGTACGTGCGAACAGGGGCGTTTAATATCCTGATCAGAGTCGAGCTGACAGTTTACGTTCTGGTGGTAGGATGTCTGGTGAGTCCGCGCGGGTAGGTACCACCACCCTGCCTGTTTCTGCCGTGAAGCAGTAATGCGTTTCAGTTTGAAGATTGAAGCAGCCGATGGACTAAGATATAGAACTCGTGTCTCAAGATGGACGAGCGGCCATTGACACCAGGTTAGCCGTGAGGTTTTCCGCCTATCTAAGCAATAATCAAGTCACATCCAGTTGAAGCATTTGGGATGTTTGTGATGAGGTAATTCGGTTCTTTGTGTTCACGGTAAGCGCACTGAGGAATTATTCGAGATAATCACGCCATGTCATCTCGAGCACATCCTCAATGTGTTTCTGGAGAACTTTCTGTCCCTCCCCCCAACCCCCTCCTACACGGTTTCAATATCATCCGAAATACATATTAGCGAATTGTTTTTTTTTTTCAGTCCCGAAGCATGCTAACCCGGCATCTGAAGAAAGTTTGCGAGAAAGAAAAGTTGATAATCGAAGAAAATAATTACTATCAAGAAAACGTTTCTAATTTATAATGCAAATAATGATAATAATGTTGATGAATTAATAAAGACTATATTTGGGATCCTGTATTCAAACGCTCCTGTATAAGCGATATTAAATGTCACAAAAAAAATGAAGTTTATGTATACTATAATAAATTATTTCAAAACACCAACCTCTCTATTCATTCACATGTCATTGTAGGATTCGTCAGCTCCCTTTTTTTAAGTCCCTCCAAATTCCAGTCCAATCACAAGAATAGATAAAAAAATGATGCATGGTGTCGTGGGACACCGGATAGGAACGAAGTTCGTTATTTTAAAAATATTAATTTTAAGTTCTCTTCGAGGTAGAAAGAAAGTAAAACTGGAGGTTTCGCAACAACCCACGGTCGTTCGGAACTTATTGTGGTACACTTCATTCACGGTTGTTTGCATAAGAGTTAGTATTGCGCAAACGAACGCTCTGAGATCGTGGTCAATGAATGAAAAAAAATGTTATTTTTTGTACATTATTACAAAGTTAAGTCGTACACTGTGCATTACTAATAAAAATCTTACGTTACGAACGTTTTTTCCCGGTTAGGGTACCCCTCCGCATCGTCCCATAAGGAACTTCGTTCCAATATTTCAAAACACCACCTCTCTATTCATTCTCCTGTTATTAAAACTTTTTACCAGATATAGTCACCTCTTTATTTTTAAGTTCCTCCAAATTGTCATCACAAGAATAGGTAGTTAAAATATTTCAAAACACCAACCTCTATTCATTCTCCTGTCATTGTAGAATTAGACCGATTATCGGAACATTTTTTTTTAGATTTTTTTGAGATGTCGTGCGAATATTTTTGTAACTACCGTCTATTTTTCTATGAAATTATTACTAGATTTGTTCGTTCCATTTCACGCAGAACGAACTAACAGTATCTTGAGGCATATAGTTTGTTTGACTTGGATTTCCATCTTCATAGTTGAAGATAATAGGATCCCAGACATTGTTTTTTTTTTTTGTTGCTTAGATGGATGGACGAGCTCACAGCCCACCTGATGTTAAGTGGTTACTGGAGCCCATAGACATCCACAACGTAAATGCGCCACCCACCTCGAGATATAAGTTCTAAGGTCTCAGTATAGTTTCAACGGCTACCCCACCCTTCGAACCGAAACGCATTACTGCTTCACGGCGGAAATAGGCGGGTTGGTGGTACCTACCCGTGCGGACTCACAAGAGGTCCTACCACCAGTGATTACGCAAATTATAATTTTGCGGGTTTGATTTTTATTACACGATGTTATTCCTTCACCGTGGAAGTCAATCGTGAACATTTGTTGAGTACGTATTTCATTACAAAAATTGGTACCCGCCTGCGGGATTCGAACACCGACCGTTGCATCGCTTCATACGAATGCACCGGACGTCTTATCCTTTAGGCCACGACGACTTCAGAAAATAATATATAAAAATAATGTATAAACGCCAACCGTCTCCTCTGTTATAGGTTGGGTGTTTTTATTCCAATGACCTCGCGCGCCATATACGGGATTAATTTGTTTCCTTTAGCGATTATTAGGATTCAGTCAAAACCTTATACAAAGAAATCTAATGAATCCTCCCCCCTCCACAAACGTAATTATTGTTGATTTAAAATAAAACACATTCCAGAATAAAATATGTATTATACATCATTATGTATATTGATTATACACAAAATTAAGTCTCACGGACAATAAAACATAAAATTATATAAATTCGTTACATTAAATTAGAATATGATTAACATAGCGATAAAATTATACAAGCAAATATCGCAGCGTTTTTAAAAACTAGGCCTCTGCATAAAAATCGCACAAGTTTTTTTTCGTTATTAGTGTAGCTTAATTAAAATAATTTAAGTGATATTTTATAAGACAAATGAAAAAGCGTAAAGCTATACATAATGTGTGCGCAAATATCATCTTATATCTTTTCTTTAAAAAAAATTAGATCAACTCCGACAGATATTTTAAGTCCATGTCGTATTCGCTGACCGTTCCATTCGATCAGCTCGAGATAGCTACGTGGTAAAAATAGGCGGTAGGGCTCGGCGAGTAAATTAACCCACAGACTCAGCCCACTGAGTTTCTCGCCGGATCCTCTCAGTGGGTCGCGTTTCCGATCCAGCGGGAGATTCTGCTAAGCACGGCTCTTGCTAGGGTTCGTGTTAGCAACATCGTCGGGTTTGAGCCCCGTGAGCTCACCTACTAGTTAAGGTTACGCTGGTATAGTCTCTCTAGACCATCAGCTTAGGTAGGGAAAAAAAGAAAAAATCCGTGCCGGTTAAATAATTTAAGATTCCATTGAAGGTTACAGCACGCAATGTATACGTACTTTTTGAAGTTCTTTTGACCAGATCATATAACCAGTTATAAACTGTGAATAAAATAAGTAATTTAAAATTAAAAAAAAAAAAACTTCATACATTGAAATATTCCGTGAGATCATTCGCGTTAACAAAAAAAGAAATATTTACAATTTCGTAATGGCACTTTTCACGAATTGACTTAGTTAACACGTTAAAAAGCACAATAATTAATATTAATCGTTCACAATTAATTGATGTATCGATTATTCATAAAATCGAATAATTAAAATACATTTTTGACTTTATCAAGATCTTTGCAATGTTTTTATTTTTTCAAACAGTATTAGCAAACTATATTCAATGTCAGTCTCCATAATTGGCAATTATAAAACATTTGAAACGTTGTTAATAGATTTCGATTCTTTTGTAAAACTAAACTAGAGAATATTACAATTTATGACGTCATCACTTCTTTAGAAGCGACGCGCGAAAGAGACAGCGATAGAGCGCGTTGGGTCCTGAGAAATAATTAGGTCATTGATTTGGAACACGACCAAAATGTGTTCATAATTGGTGATACAATAAAATAAAATATATAGCAGTCGATGTAATACAAACATACTTCAGCTGAAGGTCAACGCCCCCGGGCAACGTGTGTGTACATTGCGGGTTTACGAAGCTTGAATTCAACGGTAACTATTTATGTTCTAAGCCTGAAAATTGACCTTATAGTACCTTAATTATTATGCAGTTTCTTTGTTTGAAGACATTGTGGGAAGTTTTCTTCTAGAATCTTTGGTTTTATTCCCGACGCAAGAGAATGTGGAAAAAAAAACACGGTTATTACATTATTTGAAATCATGACAAAAATTCAATCATTCAAACATGAGACGTATGCGTTCAGTTATAATTTTAAAATTCATATTTAAAATATGCACAAAATGCAAAACACAAAATACAATTCATATATAAATATTTATAAGCGTGTGATGGCGGCATGACGGAGAGATGTTATGTAAGTCCAAGAATAGAATGTAACTAAGGACCAGCGAAACTGGTTCTTTAACCGACTTCAAGAAAAGAAGGATTTCCAGTCGATTGTATTTTTATATGTACATTACCTTATTTAACTATTTTCAGGGGATCCGTTTTCGATAATTCTTTCTTATTTGACAAGTACCGCTTATTGTGCAGAGGTCCCCTTTGAAGTTTCCGATTATTAGTTTTTAAGATATCCTCTTATAACGCACATTTAATTGACTTAGTCTAAAATTAATTATATTGTCATTTACATTTATTGAAAACAGTTTTTTTCCTATTATTCTGCACTGTATTAACGCCTATTGGTAACTTGACCTTTTAGCCTGTTTCAATTAATTCAACTACCCTCCCAGTAACATGATATCTGTACGAGTTAATGTAACGATTATTACTGGTGGTAGGACGTTCTGTGAGTCCGTACGGGTAGCTGCCACCACCCTGCCTATTTCTGCCTTGAAGCAGCAATGCGTTCCGGTTTGAAGACAACTTCCTTCTAAATCAAGTTACATTGAAGCTAGCTATCAACCAATATTTCTTTGGAAGGCACAAAGGGGGCGTTTGAAGATTTCCCGCTTATAAAAAGACCGCCATCTTGTTTATACAATTAACGAAGATTATAAATAAAGCGATCACATGATGGCGTTATAGACAAACGTACTAAATAGTATTTTAATACTCATCCGAACATGTTTCTTTATCTCGTTCCTAAGCAACATAGATTTAGCAAAATTTAATGTAACTTCAATTCGTTTCTTTCTAGACTCTCTAAAATAATATTTTCCCTAAATTTAGGCAGATTTTCCGAGTTGACAACATTGGACCGGCTGCACGATACAATCAAAGACTCACCGTGCTACTCTATTCGAAACTAATCTATAATTTCATTAGCACATTTTTTTTTAATAGACCACTCCGAATCAAATAGTAAAAAATTGAAGAATGTATAAGTAGTTTTCGTATAAAAACCTTAAAATACTATTATTATTAAGACAAAACTAACGTTTAATTTCTTAGTTACGAAAGAATTAAGTAAACATTGAACACTGGTCCTCTAGACACTGGCAGCCCCGAACATAGTGTGACCATGTTAAGGACTGTAAAAATACAGTTAAAGATGTTAGTATATTCGGGATTTAAGACAAAAAATTTACAAATAAAAACAAAATTTTTAAACCCAATCCAGTTCGTTTCCTATCGAAATCCCTGGGCTGGATATTCCTAATTGTGAGATTCGAAACTATTCTGTTTATTGGTCGCTTCAATTTGCTTGTATTGAAGGCTCTGTAGGCGCAATGTATATTGTACAATTAAGCTTTCCCGACGGTTTGCTTGTTTTGTTCGGCCAGCCGTCTCCTTCGATTGATGATGGGCACGAGTCCCCACAGGGCAGCTCCTCCGATCAGGATCAGCCCGAAGGTCAGGAACAAGGACTTATATGACTTCGCGTATTCGAACCAGAAGCCGCAGATCGGCGGCCCGATCAGCTGCAAGATCCCGTTCATGAACAACGAGATCCCGTACGAGGACATTAGTCGCTCTGTACCCAGCATTTCGGTCATGACCAGGGCCGTGACGCCGACGTTGATGCCCGAAGCGATGCCGAAAATCGAGCAGAACGCGGAAATAGCCGAATAGCTCCGCACCAACGGTATCAGAGACAAGCTGACGCCGGACAACAGCAAACCGAATATGAAAAAGTAACGCTTCGGCGTCGAAACCACGTCGGACAGAGCCGAGCCTCCGATCCGACCGACCAGATCCAACGCGGATATGATCGACAGC